ATGTTGTATACATGTTAGAATGTCTCTGCAAATAATATATTGGGAGAACAACTAGAAGATTGCGCGATCGACTGCGTGAACATGTTTACAACATGAAGAGAGGACTGAAAGATCATGCCCAGTCCAAACATTTTAGGTACTATCACCATAGGAATCCAACGGATCTTAAATTTGTGGGAATTGACCTCATTGGACATTGCTGGAGGGGCAATAATAAAAGAAAAGCTGTTTCGATGTTAGAAACAAAATGGATTTATGAGGTCAAATCTTTGTTTCCCTTAGGGCATAATGTTGAATTGGATATCAACTGCTTTATTGATAGCAGTTAATATATAATTTTATCGGTGATTTTATTGTTTCGCATTTTTCTGGTTATCCTGGTCTATTTTTTAATTCTATTCTATAATATTAATAAGTTTATTTAGAGGTAATATTTAATCTTTATCTAGATTTCTAGTTGTTATTGATATGTTTTAATTTGATTCCTATTGTGTAAACGGCGGGTCACGCATCACTGCAGTGACGGCTACTTTTAGCTGATGGTAAACGATTAGCCCCTGATCGCTTATGACATAATTTTATATTACATACTATCTTTTTATATTACATATTATCTTTTTATATTTTCATATTGGCCCATAATAACCATCTCTATGGAATGTTTTATAGTTATTTTACGTTGATGGATAGTAAACATATCATTTTCTCTTTTGAGATGATATTGAATTTTATTTTATTTCAATTTTAAATTTTTTTTACTATTAGCAATATTTTTATGTAGGTCAATAAAAGTCGCTAGACCCTTTCTTCCCCTTTTTTTTTTTTACCTTTTTAAATATGGTGTACTATCGGAAGTTGATGTATAGACTTTACCCCTAGGATCACTCATTTATTTTTGATATATATATTTTTATAAAAGTTTTTTACATATATTTATAAAATTTTGATTGCTGCTATAACATGCCTATAAAGGGCAAACATTTTTCGATATCAGGTTTTGCATATTCCGAGATTGTTTTGCATATTGTGGTGTCATGTCTTTCTCACAAACGAAACCACAGTAAAATGGCGACATTAGTATTGAAAACGTGGGCTACGCTAAAATGGCCACCATAACAGCAATTGATGAAATCCCAGGCTACAGGAAAATGGCACGTGGTCACGAGTGGCTTTCAAAACTCGTCAAGGCTCCGCTTTTTTCTGTTATTCTTATTTTTATTATTTGTACACACAGCTCGATCTACTAGTGTATTCCTTATAGAGTATAGATTATGCCATTTGGTTTCTTCCTGGCCCAGGTCCCAGCAGTGATGCGGCTGATCTGCCGGACTTCTGCAAAATGGCGCCCCAACTCGCGCATGCTCGGAGGGCTATTTAAAATGGCGAACGTTGGCAGCAAGCCACCCCTTTGACAACATGCTGGTGCACGAAACGGGTCAGGGAGGAGCTTGCCGCGCTGACGTCACTCGCTGCCAGGTCCACACCCTAGGCTGCCAGCCATCTTTGTTATTTTTATATATTGGAATCTCTGCAATTACCTCATATAGCTGCATTACCATTTACAACTGCTGAATTTAGCTGCTGTACTTCTGCAATTTCTGATAATAGCTGCAATACCATTTGCAATGGCTGAACTAAGCTGATTTACTAATACCTTTGGCTCAATAAAACATACTACACCATATGAGCTCTTTTGTTTGGTGGCTTATTCCTGGAGCTCCTTAAAGGTGGACATCCATTGGTGCTGACCTGATGTGAAGCCGGGTGTAATATAAAAGTATGTCATAAGTGATCAGGGGGTAATCATTTACCATCAGCTAAAAGTAGCCGTCACTGCAGTGATGCGTGACCCGCCGGGGTAAGTGAAACCAAGGAGCTGTCCCAGTCTGCTGTGAGGGTCCCACTGAGAGGTCTGGAGTCTATTTCCAGGATAATTTTGGCACCTATAAGGAAAAGTTATTTTATGGACTGCTATATGTTTATAATGTGCGTTTACCTCACTGCTATTCGTCTAATTTAAGATGATGCACGATTTTATTGCGCTCATCTTCAACGCTTTGATATATGAATTATCACTTGTCACTTTGCATTTCATTTTATGTCAGATATACTGTTAGTTATATGTGTTTTAGCGCTGCATTTTTGATTTATACCTTTCAAGTCCTCCCAGGGGCGGACTGACAATTTGGAAACTCGGGCACTGCCTGAGGGCTCGGGGTCAGTAGGGGGCCCCATGAGATGCCCCTGGTACCTTTTTCATAGGCTTTTTTGAGTTTGGGCAAGGACACAGGGGCCCCATGATCCCCTATTGCCTGGGGGCCCCATGAGTTGTCAGTCCGCCCCTGAGTCCTCCGTAACCCTCCCTCTCTATGCTTCTCTTCTTTTGTGACTCACTGCATTCGGCTGTTTTCTCCCATTTCTTTTGCAGTGATCTATCAGCCTCCTGGACTGGTGTTGCGCTTTACTGATGATTTCTCCGCCTGGATACCCTACTTTCTCTCCTCTGAAATACCCACTATCATTCTCGGAGATTTTAACATCCCCATTAATGTCAACAACCCGGCTACATCCCAACTCTTCAACCTAACATCATCTTTTGCATTAGCACAATGAACACAGTCCTCCGCTCACTCTGATGGGAATACATTAGACCTTGTTTTCTCCCATCTTTGCACTCCCTACAACCAGACAAACACCACCTTCCCACTCTCTGATCACAATCTCATCACCTTCACAGTGTCCTCATCTTCAAACACTTATCCCTCCAAGCAGCAAACAATTACCCGCAGAAACCTTCACAACTTGAACCCTGCTCCTTTCCACTCTGCAACTGACCAGCTCTTTGACAGAATCTCTCCCGTCCTGCCCTGACCTGGCCACTGCTGTCTACAACAGTTTGCTTTCATCTACACTAGACTCACTTGCTCCTCTAACAACACAAAGTATCAGGCCCCGACCATTACAACCTTGGCAGACCGACGACACCAGAAATCTTAAACGACATAGTTGTGCACTGGAGTGATTGTGGCGTAAAACCAAATCTAACCAAGCATTCACCCTATATAAATATGCTTTCTTAACATACAATTCCTCCCTCCATGCTGTCAAACAAGCCTACTTTGTCACTCTCATCAATAGGTTGTCATCCAGTCCTCATCGTCTCTTCTCTACTTTTAACTCTCTACTTTCTCCACCTTCACCTCCACCCAGTACCTCACTCACTGCTCACGAAATTGCAAATCATTTCAAAAACAAGATTGATGCAATTCGTAGGGACATTGCCATTGGACAGACATCCATCCCACTTAGCATACCTTATACTAAACCTCCCTCAACACTTTCCTCTTTTGACCTTGCTACTACTGAAGAGGCCACTAAGATTTTCTCAGAAGCCCGTCTCACTACCTGCCCCATGGATCCTGTCCCCTCACAACTACTACGGTCACCCTCTTCTTCCATCCTATGCTCCCTCACTCACATCTTCAATCTCTCTCCCTCTCTTAACAGTGCCTTCCCCTCCCTTCTAAAGCATGCACACATCACTCCCATACTTAAAAAGCCCACTGTCAGGAATGGACTTGCCAGTAATGGTGGGACCCACCTGCCTTGTGGGCTGCAGTACAGGGCTGGCCAGCGGGTGCTCCCGGCAATCAGAGACTCAACCCTGCAGCCAGCCAAACACCTGAAGTTGATCATGCAGGTGTATTTAAGGGATGGCCAGACCTGCAGTCTCTGCCTTGGTGTGTGTTTTTCCTGGGCCCTGTATCTTGTTACCTGCATCCCTGTCCCTGTCCCTGTCTGACTGATTCATTGCTGACCCTGCCTGATCCGGACCTCTGCTGACTTCTCCTGTTTATCCCTGGCTGTGACCCCGACCATTCTCTGCCTGACCCCCTGTACCTACCTGCCCGATTGTTATTGACCCGGCCTGCCTGACGACGCTTGCATTGTATGTACTGTTATCTGTGGGTGGTTTGGTTTGGTTCGTTTGCACTGTGTTATGTTTTAGTATTGCACTGCGTTTATGTTTGTATTGTTAGTCTTTAATAAATTATATTGTTTATAACTTATCTGAAGCCTGCGTTTCCCTGCGTCAGTCACATACCTCTGGTCTCACCCCGGAGCCCTGACATTACACCAAGGCCAATCCTGACCAGAAGTGGCTGCACAGGGAAGCCATCTTGGCTTGTTGCTGGGAAGGATGGATCTTGATGAGGTTGTGTATTTATCTCTGCTAGTGTTTGATGACAGAGAATATGCTTATCAGACTCTGAAGGAGTATCCCAGGGATGAACTACTAGAGTGTATACGGATCGCTCATGTTCTAGTAGATCAGGGCACAGAATTCTCTGGAGTGCAGCCATTGATTCAGGTTTGTGCTGAGTTGGTTTCATCTGGTACCCCCGAATGCAGGGATGAATTTTTGCCCCCATTTAGTGCAGACCAGGTAGAGTCCCTGGTATGGTTATTAGAGGATGATGTGGATTACTTTCTGGAGCATTATTCTGCATGTTCACAACAGGTACTGTATACAACATTGTATAAACGCAGTGCAGTCATTGACCAGACAGGCTTTGTGTAAACTGAGCTTTGTTCAACCCATACTGCAGACATGGTCAGACTTGTTGCACCCAGCCTCAGTCAGCTTACAACATCATTCCTCCGCTCAAGGCACTCTTCCTGCATCCCCGACAGCACCCCCAGTGACTGCCCAGTATACTCTAACTACCATATACCAGTCCTCTGCTCCCACTCGCTGCACCTATCCTTTCTTTAACCCTGTAAAGAAGTCCTCTGTAGCAACTGCTCCCTCCTCTGTTCCATCTTCCAGCTCTTCTCTGTCCTCAGCTGCTCCATTCGTTTGCAGACCTGCGTTTACTTTCAGTGCCCCAGTAGTTAAAACCAGAAAAAAGCGGAAATTCTTTCCAACCACTACCATCCTGCAAGTATCCAAACCGGTGAGCCTGCCGTCTGTGAACCTGCCTTCCGTGGTTCAGCCTGGTGCCTCGGCACCCGCACTTCAGCCTGATGTCTGTACCCAGCCTGATGTCTGTACCCAGCCTGATGTCTGTACCCAGCCTGATGAACTGATCCAGCCTGATGATCCTATCATGCCTGATGACCCAGTGCCCGCTGTCGAGCCAGACGATCCGGTACCTGATGACCCGTTGCCCACTGTCATGCCTGGTGACCCGATTCCCGCTGTCGTGCCAGACGATCCAATGCCTGATGACCCAGTGCCCGCGGTCATACCTGGTGACCCGATGCCCGCTGTCGAGCCAGACGATCCAATGCCTGATGACCCAGTGCCCGCTGTCGATCCGGACGATCCGGTACCTGATGACCCAGTGCCTGCTGTCATGCCTGGTGACCTGATGCCCGCTGTCGAGGCAGACGATCCAGCGCCAGATGACCCGGTGCCCGCTGTCGTGCCAATTGACTCAGAGTCCACTGTTGTGCCTGGTGACTCGGTGCCCACTGCCTTGCCAGATGACGCAGTGCCCGCTGTCGAGCCAAATGACCTGATGCCTGGTGACCCAATGCCCGCTGTCGAGCCAGACGATCCAATGTCTGACCCAGTGCCCGCGGTCATGCCTGGTGACTCGGAGCCCACTGTCATACCTGGTGACCCAATGCCCGCTGTCGAGCCAGACGATTCAATGCCTGATGACCCAGTGCCCGCGGTCATGCCTGGTGACCCGATGCCCGCTGTCGAGCCAGACGATCCAGTGCCAGATGACCCGGTGCCTGCTGTCGAGCCAGACGATCCGGTACCTGATGACCCGGTGCCCGCTGTCGTGCCAATTGACTCAGAGCCCACTGTCGTGCCTGGTGACTCGGTGCCCACTGCCTTGCCAGATGACGCGGTGCCCGCTGTCGAGCCAAATGACCTGATGCCTGGTGACCCGATGCCCGCTGTCCAGCCAGACGATCCAATGTCTGACCCAGTGCCCGCGGTCATGCCAGTTGACTCGGAGCCCACTGTCGTGCCTGGTGACTCGGTGCCCACTGCCTTGCCAGATGACGCGGTGCCCACTGGTGAGCCAAATGACCTGATGCCTGGTGACCCGATGCCCGTTGTCGTGCCTGATGACTCGGTGCCCGCCGCTCCGCCTGGGGGCCCGGTGTCTGCCGCCCCTCCTGGGGGCCCGGTGCCTGCAGCCCCGCCTGAGGGCCCGGCGCCTGTCGCCCCGCCTGGGGGCCCGATGCCTGTCACCCCGCCTGAGGGCCTGGCGCCTGGCGCCTGTCGTCCCACCTGGGGGCCCGGTGCCTGTCGCCCCGCCTGGGGGCCCGGTGCCTGTCGCCCCGCCTGGGGGCCCAGTGCCTGTCACCCCGCCTGGGGGCCCGGTGCCTGTCGCCCCTCCTGGGGGCCCGGCGCCTGTTGCTCCGCCTGGGGGCCCGGCGCCTGCTGCTCCGCCTGGTGATCCGGTGTCCAGCTCGATGTGCCTCTGCCCAGAGTCCTGCCCGGAGTCCAGCCCAATGTGCCGCTGCCCGGAGTCCTGCCCGATGTGCCGCTGCCCAGAGTCCAGCCCGGTGTGCCGCTGCCCGGAGTCCAGCCCGGTGTGCCGCTGCCCGGAGTCCAGCCCGGTGTGCCGCTGCTCGGAGTCCAGCCCGGTGTGCCGCTGCCCGGAGTCCTGCCCGATATCTCGCCAGTTACCAGACCCGGGCAGTGGAACATTTTGCCCAGCTAGGACTGTTTGGAGCGTCCTGAGGCCGCTCCTTGAGGGGGGGGTACTGTCAGGAATGGACTTGCCAGTAATGGTGGGACCCACCTGCCTTGTGGGCTGCAGTACCAGGGCTGGCCAGCGGGTGCTCCCGGCAATCAGAGACTCAACCCTGCAGCCAGCCAAACACCTGAAGTTGATCATGCAGGTGTATTTAACCATTAGCCGCCTGGCCAATGGCCGTTTGGCGGCTTCAGAAGTGTCTCTCCATTCCGGGTGCACGCCATTTTTTCATACTGTCACCAGTCAGTGTCCCTGTTCACCGCCATGCCAGTTATATGATGACGCTGTACTGCACTGGTGACAGTATGTAAAAAATAAAATAGTGAAAATAATTTTTTCATTTTTTCATTTTCCGAAAAATTATGACAAAAAAATACAACTTCAAAAAACTCGCCATGCCTCTTATGAAGTACGTCGGACTGTCTACTCTGCAAAAAGGGGTCATTTGGGGATATCTGTACTATTCTGACATTCTTGGACCTCAAGAAATTAGATTGGCTGTCAGTACTTCAGGATTGATCAATTTTCAGATCTATACCATAGTTTGTGAACTCTATAACTTTCCTACAAACTAAAAAATACATCCTAATTTGGGTTATTTTCACCCAAAGACATGTAGCAGAATACATCTCGGCCTAAATTTATGAAGAACAATTATTTATTTGTAAACTTTTAAAACAGAAACAAAGAAAATGTGGGTTTTTTTTCAAAATTTTTGGTATTTTTTGTGAATTTAGCAAAAAATAAAAACCCCAGCAGTGATTAAATACCACCAAAAGAAAGCTCTAGTTGTGTGAAGAAAATGATAAAATTTTAGTTTGGGTACAGTGTTGTATGACCGCGCAATTGTCATTCAAAGTGTGAGAGCGCTGAAACCTGAAAAATGGCCTGGGCAGGAAGGTGTAAAATTGCACGGTATTGAAACGGTTAAGGGATGGCCAGACCTGCAGTCTCTGCCTTGGTGTGTGTTTTTCCTGGGCCCTGTATCTTGTTACCTGCATCCCTGTCCCTGTCTGACTGATTCGTTGCTGACCCTGCCTGATCCGGACCTCTGCTGACTTCTCCTGTTTATCCCTGGCTTGTGACCCCGACCATTCTCTGCTGCCTGACCCCCTGTACCTACCTGCCCGATTGTTATTGACCCGGCCTGCCTGACGACGCTTGCATTGTATGTACTGTTATCTGTGGGTGGTTTGGTTTGGTTCGTTTGCACTGTGTTATGTTTTAGTATTGCACTGCGTTTATGTTTGTATTGTTAGTCTTTAATAAATTATATTGTTTATAACTTATCTGAAGCCTGCGTTTCCCTGCGTCAGTCACATACCTCTGGTCTCACCCCGGAGCCCTGACACCCTCCCTGGACCCCACAAACCTGAACAACTTAAGACCCATCTCCCTGCTCCCTTTTACCTCTAAACTCTTAGAACGCTTAGTCTACAATTGCCTGAGCTCCTACCTCACTGACATCAACCTTCTTGACCCTTTACAGTCTGGCTTCCACTCACTCCACTCCACTGAAACTGTCCTACTAAAACTCAAATGATCTACTAACTGCTAAAACCAATGGCCACTACTCCATACTCTTACTACTTGACCTCTCTGCGGCGTTTGATAAGGTTGACCATCCCCTCCTCCTCAAAAAACTCCACTCTCTTGGCCTCTGAGACTCTGCTCCCTCCTGGTTCTCCTCCTACCTATTGCAGCACTCCTTCAGCGTTACCTATAACTCTGCCTCCTCCTCATCACTCCCTCTTTCTGTAGAGGTCCCACAAGGTTCCGTCCTTGGATCCCTTCTCTTCTCAATCTACACCTCCTCCCTTGGTCACTCCCATGGCTGTAAGTACCATCTCTATGCTGATGACACAAATCTATCTTTCTACCCCTCACCTCACCCCTTCAGTCTCCTCTTGCATTACTAACCTACTAAGCGACATATCGGCATGGATGTCACTCCACTACCTCAAATTCAATCTTTCCAAAGCTGAGCTCTTAGTATTCCCTCCAGCCCGTGCCCCCTCCCCTGACTTCTCCATCAAGATCAATAACACAACCATCAGGTCCTCTCCTCATGCCAGGGTGCTGGGTGTAATCCTAGACTCCCATTTGTCTTTTCAGCCCCAAATCCAATCGCTGTCCAAATCTTGTAGACTTCACCTCCGCAACATCTCCAAGATACGCCCGTTCTTAACCTCGGAAACAACTAAGCAACTTATTCACTGCCTTGTTATCTCTTGCCTTGACTATTGTAACTCCCTCCTCATTGGCCTACTTCATGCTCAGGCTATCCCCTCTTCAGTCTATCATGAATGCTGCTGCCAGACTCATCCACCTCACTAACCGTTCTGCATCAGCCACCACTCTCTGCCAATCCCTCCACTGGCTTCCTGTTGCCCAACGGATAAAATTCAAAACATTAACAATAACATATAAAGCCATTTATAACTCTGCCCCAAATTACATCACCAATCTTGTCTCCAGATATCACCTAAACCATACTCTCCACTCCTGCTCTCTAGCTCCCTTGTCTCCTCCTCCCATGCTCATCTCCAGGATGTCTCCAGAGCTTCCCCCAGCCTCTGGAACTCTCTACCCCAATTTATCAGACTATCGCCTACTCTGCTCACTTTTAGGCGATCTCTGAAAACCTATCTCTTCAGAGAAGCCTATCCTGCCCTCAGATAATAATGGAATCTACTACTCTTCCTACCAGTCCATCTCCCACAGTTACTACCTTTTGTACCACTAGCCCCTCCCTCCTAGATTGTAAGCTCCAAGGAGCAGGGCTCTCCTATCCCTCTTGTATTGAACTGTATTGTCTCCTGTTATATTGTAAAGCGCTGAGCAAACTGTTGGCGCTATATAAATCCTGTATCATAATAATAAAAATAATAAATCGTCCCCCCCCCCCCCCCGAAGAAAATCCCCCTACTCAGGTACACAAGTGCACTATGCACAACCTTTAAAGAAAATGTTTTTCAAATTATCATGCACTGGCATTACACATCTGAATTTCTGCATGCCATTTACCCAGTGGTCAGTAATTGATGTCAGCAAAGGTTCAAAGCAAAGCATCCTTCTAATCTACCCCAAACAAAAATCCCTTTCTCGCTAGCACAAATTCCCTCCCTAAGAAAAAATTCCCCTTCCTCCCAGTACAAATCTCTCTCCTGAAAGCTTAATTCCCCACAGGCAAAATTCCATCCCCAAAGCAAAAATCCTTCCTCCCATCATAAATCCCCCCCCCCCTCCCAAGCTCCTATCTCCTTTAGTACAGACCTTCCCCATCACTTTTCCTAAGCCAAAATCGCCCCAACACAAATTTTCCCTGCCTTCTTGAGATGTGCTCACTGAACCTCAAATAAAGTGGCACCCTGCAGAGTGAGAGAAGGTCCTCCCAGGCTTCCTTTCCTCTTGGCTGTGTCAAGCGACAAATTACATAAGAGCTGAGGAGCCTTGGACAGGTTCCCTCAGCCCTGCACTGCCACTGTATCTGAGGTCTGACAGACAATGGAGTCAGAAGTCAAGCTATTGTTATTTTTATTAATTATATTTTTATTACTTTTAAATTATAAATACAACACATTTCGAAACATGACAAACACAATTTCCATAACATATTTTACATTTTTCCCCCACCCACCTCACCTCCTCATATTTCTTTTTCCTGTATCTTTTTGTATCTGTTTCATTATTTACGCCTACTATATTGCTTTTTCACTCCCTTCTCCTTCTCTACCTTCTGACTACTATTAGGGTGCTTGTTTCTTTCCCTATCAATCCCTTTTAC